CTCATGCCAATACTCTGGAGGTGGAGGCAGAAGGATTACAAATTCAAGGCCAGATGGGGTACACGGTGAGACACTGATAAGACAGAGAGAGAAAGAAGAGGGAGGGAAAAGGAGAGAGAAACTGTTTTCTCATTGAAATCTAAGTCATTTTCTTAAAAGGTCTTTTTAAAATTTTGGTATTGTTCTTCTTAGTAATATTTTGGATCGTCTATGAAGAAGCATTTTCAACACAATTGCAGGGCTGGACATGATCTTGGATTTTAGACATAGACACAATTGAAGAACTCAAATCAATCAAAGATACGTAGTTTAGTTTTTATAAAAATATTTCATGCCTTTATCCATGTCCAATTTAGACTAGTTGGTAGATTATCCCTCAAACTTTTGTTCTCAGCAAGTTGAGAAATCAAGGGAAAAAATTCAGGCAACTCGAGATAAACCATTCCCTTTCCTATAAAAACAGCTCCAACTATTTTGCTCAATAATAGTTGGAATCAGATTCACTGTCATGTTCGTGTGACCATGCTCATGACTTTATTGTGAAATGGCTCTAATCAGGGTAAATCCTTGCAAGGCATTAATTAATTGATATTTTGGGATTTATCCTCCCAACAGGCCGGTGAAGAAAATAGTCATATTTTCTCTTGTTTTTACAAAAGCCCCATTTGCTCTAACATACGGATCCATCCCATGATACTCTGAATGCTCTAATGACTTTCTTCTTTTTTTACAAACACTTTTAGTGGACTCAGGGCTCTCTCTTCTGTAGCAATGATAATCACCATTACTTTCAGACTCTGCTTTCCTAACTTGATGTAGTGGATCAGAATCTAAGTGCAAGCAACCATTTACGCTGGTGACTTCAAGAGACCAACACCAGTGATCAAATTGTCCATACAAGGGAGGGACGGATAGGGAAGACAATACACAGGTAATGTGGACAGACACATGAAGAACAAATGAGAGGATTTGTTCAATGCTGCTTAAGTACTAGGTAAGAGTATGAGAGAAGTAACATAATGGTCTTTATTTATTACCACTCCAGTGAAAGCAAAATTAAATTATGAAGTTCCTATATTTTCTTCTTTGTATCTAGTGTTCTCTGTTCTTTATCTCATATACCATTCTAAACTCTCTTTGTAAGAGTGCTGAAGATAATTCATGCAATAAAGAGATCTCCCAGAAGTCCCTTTGTTTTGATTAATATGATAAGCCATGGAAGCAAATGTATAAAAAAGAAGAAAATTGTATCTGTATGACAGGAAGTAACTATAATCTTTGGGCTTTTGAATCTTATATTGTATCCCTTATGAGAAATGCTTAAAAATCTCTTGAAAAATTACCATAATTATCTCAAATTGCAGTGACTCCTAAGTGATGCAATCTTTGTAATTTGTAATTTAACTAGTGCTATTTTGGGATCAGCTATACTTTCTAAAAAGTCCATTTCTTAATTTTTAAAGATTTATTTTTAACTGGTATATGAAAACATAAAAATTGTATTAATGAGGCACCATGGGATGTTTTGAAACATGTATACACCACATAATGTTAAAATCATGGTAAACATATCTATCTCATTAAATATTTATCTTTTCTTTATGATGAAAACTTCCAAAACCCTTTGTTCTAGCTTTTTGAAATGCACAGTACATTTCTGTTATCCGTAGTCACACTATAGAACTTCTCACTCCTAAATGTAACTGTACTGATTGATCATTCTTTTCCCATTCCCCTCAGTTCACCCCCTCTACCATACTGCTATCAGTGTCTTTGAGGTCAATCTTTGTTATATTCTATGTAAGAATGAGATAGTATGGTAATTACATTTCTGTGTCTGCTTCATTCCAATTAATTACCACAATGAGATAAAACTTAATTCTAGCAGGAATGGCTGTTCTGAAAAAGATTATAGAAGTGAACGTGGGTGAGAGTGTAGAGAAAAGGAAACACTTGTAGATTATTGCTTGTAATGTATATTAGAGGACCATTATGGAAAACATTTTGGAGGCTCCTCTAAAATCTAAAAATAGAACTACCATATGATCAAGCATTTCCACTATGGGATATATACCCAAAGGAAGTTATATTAGTATATTTATGAGATATCTGCACTCCCATGTTCATTGCAGCACTGTTAGCAATAGAAGTAGATACAATCTAAGTGTCCATCAACTGATGAATTATAAAGGAAACTATAAATAAAGTAGTGTAAAAAGATAGTTCTTTTAAAAGCATATACTAACTGATTATCCTGAATGGTTAATGAGTTGTAGAAAGTAATTTAGAGTAACAACTAGTTAATTATTGTTTATGTTTCACATACCATTAAGAGTTATGAGGTCTGAATCTATCTTGTCCAGGGGTCAATCTCAATGTTCCTAATCTTCTGGCTGAAATTCAACCAACCGCCTATTCTAACACCTTTTACAAGAACTGCATGTATAGAACATGCACAATTAAAAGACCCCTCAAATATAAAACTACTGGTCACTGTACTGTGATTTCCTTCTTTCTTGTGCTGTGGTTTATTAAGAAGGGGGACAGAATGCATTGGTCATGAAAGGAGGAGAGGAGAAGGATGTAGTGAAGGTGGAGGGGAAGAAAATTCAAAGAGGAAAGGGGATGCTGAAATGGTATGTTATGCTGCCTTGTTACAATAACTATAAGTTAAAAGGAAATACTAATCTTTCTTACAAAAAATTGAAAACACACAGGAGAAAAAGAAACTCCTGAATCATAAGTATTGGTGAAATATAGTTTATTTCAAAGAGCTGAAGGACAATTAGGCACAATATATAAAGTGTCAAAGTTCACTTAATGTTTTGTTAGATATTCATATTTTTCTTATAAACAAAAGAATTGGAGTTTTTGTTGTTTGCTTAGATGGATGGTTTTTGAAACAGAGGCTTTCTATATACCTCAGACTGGACTTAATCTTGTGACTCACCTGTCTCAGCCTCACAAGTGCTGGAATTACAGGCATGTGCCACTATGCTGAGCTTAAACAGAATTAAAAACAAAAATATGTAGTCATTAAAACTCATGCTTGGAATTTAAGCACTGTGTCAGTTATTGTCCAGGAAAAATTTTCCTTAGACCTGCTTTCAGATTTCTCAGTCATTTGACATACAGGCTCCCTACTCTAAGTGTTGTCATCAGGTTCCTCTCCATGTCCTCCACTCACACCTTTCCTTCCTTCTATGTTCTTTCACTGAATTTTTATCTTCCTTACCCTGAAATTTCCTCTTTTCAAATACAATTGTATTCTTATATCCTTTGAGAATTATTCTTACATTTTTTTCTAGATTCTCAACTCTTTCAAATCATTAATACTCATAAAGTAATTTTACATGTATCTTAAATAGGGATATAATATTTATCAACAGACTAAATTCAGATTTTTCTACAGCTGTCTCAACAATTTTGTTAATTGGTATTTTTCATGCATTTTCAGTATCTCATTGGTCTCCTTTAACCTAGATCAGTTTCCCAGCCTTCATCTGTCTTAATGGACCTTGATAATTGAAGAGTACAGGGAAGCTATTTAGTCCTAATTTGAGTTTGTCTCATGTTTCTTCATTTTGACAATTAAGCTGCATATTTTGGGGGAGGCATGTCACTTCAGTGGCATCACGTCCTGTTCAGAATATGATTTCAGCAGCCATGTGATGTTGGTTTATGTCCACACTGGTGACATTGATGTTCATCACGTGGTTATGATCGTGTCCGCCAGCACCTTCAAGTTTAAAATTTACTGTCTTCCACTTTGCATTAATAATTTCAGGAGACATATTTTAAGCTATATAAATAATCTGCTCCTCATCTAATTCTTATATATCACTTTTGCCTCCATAAATGGCTTTCTAACTCCATCACCTTTTCATAATTAAAGGATAGTAGTGTGGGGAATCATTTTTTAAATTTTATTTTGGGTTGAGACAAAATAATTGTACATATTTATGAGGTAAAATGTGATATTTTCATAAATGATTATAATGTATAATGATCAAATCAGGGTAATTTGTACATCCATCACCACACATATTTTAAATTCCTTTATGATGAGAACATTCAAAACTTCTATGTGCTTGACATTACCATAAGTGAAATAAGCCAGGTACATAAAGACAAATACCACATGTTCTCACTCATATGTGAAGGTTAAAAAGCTGATCTCATAGAAATAGAGGACAGAATCACGGTTACTGCTACAAGGTTACAGTTGGATAGGGAGAATAGGTTCTAATGTGATTATTGTTACTAGTAATTTCAGTCCATGTTTAATATAACTTCCTCCCCTGATAGAATTCTTTGATTTGATTTAGCAAACCTTACTCACAATTTTTGCCTCAGTATTTACAAGAGTTTTTAATTTTTTATTATTGTTGTACTGGGGAGTACAATGTGACATTTACAAATGTTCTTACAATATAATATATCATAGTTGAATTAACCCCCATCATCATTCTTCTTTATCCCCCAACCCCCATTCCTGTAATAGTTTCAACATGTTCATTTTTCCAATTACATATATGTGTGCACAATATTTCCATCATATTCATCCTCCTACATCCTTCCTTTACATCCTTCGTCCTCCCACTGGTGCCAACCCTCAAGAGAGGAACTGTTTTGCCTTCCTGTTCTCCATTTTGGTTAAAAAAAAGAGAGAGACATTTTTGTTTGTTTAAGATAGATATACAGGGTGTTTCATTGTGACATTTCCATGTATATAGGGAATAGTTTTGTACTCACCATCAGTTATGTTTTTCTTTTATTTTTAATTTTAGTAAGTCTAATTTCAGAGGTTGAGGATTTTATGTGGTTTAGGTATTTACTTAATAGTTTTTCTTAATGCTCAAATTGTCTTACAGTAGATTAGTGGTAGACCTGTAAATATGCCATCAATAACATTTCTATATCTCTGTGTTTCCCATGGATCATATCCTCAGTTTTTATTTTGTGTAATTTTTTGCTCCACAGGTAACAGAAAATAAATGATGATGGAAAATATCGATTATACTTCTCAAGGTTACCTCATTCTGCTGGATTTTTCTAATTGGCTTCACCTAGAAGTGGTTCTCTTTGTAGTAATCTTGCTATTCTATGTGATGACACTAAGAGGCAACCTGTTTATCATCATCTTGTCACACCTGGACCCCCACCTCCACACTCCCATGTACTTCTTCCTCTCAAACCTCTCTCTTCTGGATCTCTACTCTACCACCATCTCTGTCCCCCAGTTTCTGGTAAATCTCTGGGGCTCAGACAAGACAATTTCTTTCACTGGTTGCATGATTCAACTCTACTTATTCCTTGCACTGGGGTCTACAGAGTGTGTCCTATTGGTGGTGATGTCTTATGATCGCTATGCAGCTGTGTGTAAACCCTTGCATTACAATGTACTCATGCACCCTTGTTTCTGCCATTTTTTGGCTGTGACTTCTTGGGTAAGTGGATTTACCAACTCAGCAGTTCATTCTCTCTTCATTTTCTAGGTACTCCTATGTGGACATAACCAAGTGGATGACTTCTTTTGTGAAGTTCCAGCACTGCTACAATTATCATGTATTGATACTTATGCTAATAAACTGACTCTGCTAGTCACAAACTCTATCTTTGTTCTAATTCCACTCATCCTTATTTTGACATCCTATGGAGCCATTGCTTGGGCAGTATTGAAAATGCAATCAACAAGTGGATCTCAGAAAGTTTTTGGGACATGTGGAGCCCATCTGACAGTTGTGTCCCTCTTTTTCATTCCAGCCATGTGTACATATTTCCAGCCACCAACAGAAAATTCTGGAGATCGAGGCAAATTCATTGCCCTGTTTTATACTGTTGTCACACCTAGTCTCAATCCTCTAATCTACACCCTCAGAAACAAGGATATAAGAGGGGCAGTAAGGAGACTAAAGGAATGAGAGAAATCTGTGTGCCTGTGGCATTAGCAGTGTACTGGTGCATCTCTTCACCAATGGTTCATAAATCCATTCACTTGTCAACCAACTTTTCTGTCACTCTGTCGTATTTATTTATGACATATTTATTTATGCCATATTTATTTATTTATATATTTATACTCTCACAAACTTTCAGAGTTGTTTCTAACATACATAAATAAAACACAGTCTGCCTAAATATGATATACTTGTGTAGAACACAGCCAGGTAAAATCATGATCTAACACTGACAGTGACTTTTTTGTTCAGAGTACAATCCTAATTTAATCCAAATTCTTTCCTTACTTGAGAATGAGATTTGTTGTAAATATGGATAAAAAAGCAGTTTATTTGGAAAGATGACATAATCTATTTAAAAATCTCTTTAAGTGTGTCTTTTGTGTTCTTTCTTTCTAGGCAGAACTCTTTTTCTATTGTTGTGCTGGGTGGGGAACTTTTGTAAGAACAAAAGTTCTTACACTGTATCAAACATAATATCATACTTTAATTCACCTCCTCCACCCTTCTTTTTCTCCCTTCACCCCATTCCTGAAATAGTTTCAACAGGTATCACTTTTACATTTAGATACATGAGAAAACTTTTTTTGTATCTTCTGTTTATTTAAAGCATAGCCAAATACTTGAATTTTTTTTTACAACACTGCTATTCTTTATTGAATGGTAAATATTGAGAAGATTTTTGGTCCATAATCTTTCATATCCCATTAAGAAAATAAGTTTATGATTTTAGCAAAACAGTTCTGAAGTATTTATCAGAAATAACGATCTCGACTTCCACCATTTTTAGAAAGGCACTAAGAAGTGTAAAATATAGAGGGTAGAAATATATTTGAAATTCTGGTAGATGACTTCTGAATCACAGGACAAATATAACTTGGTAAAGTAAATATTCTGAGCACCTACATATCCCAAGAGCTCTAGAGAATACATAAGACAGACAACTAGACTCCAAAAATGATATGAAAGCCATGTATTTTTAATTACTTTTAAATATATTGGAAAAAATCATGATAAAAAGACTTATTCTGGAAATTATGTTTTTCTTTTTTAAGCTTGATCTTATTTGCATACTTATAGTTAATAGCAATATTATAAAGCAAACTTATGTATTTCCCACCTGAAGAAAAATATTTTCATAAAAGGAACAATTTTTTGTCTATATTATTATCAATTATATCCATTTGAAATAAGTGGGCTATCAGTCATATTAATAGAAGTGGAATAATGACTAAAAGAAAAGTTAGTATAAAGTAAGATCTTAGCAATAGTAAATTTTGTAAGTAAAATGTCAGCTATAGTCTTTCAGGCCTTTAATTAGCTACATGTGATTTAACAGTACCTCCTACATTATAAAATAAGCTAAGCAATCAAAACTTCCTTCAATTTCATGTGTGGCTTGCAATTATACTGGTTCTTTTGATTTTGTTCTTTTCTCTGTCTATGACTCTTCCTTTATCTCCAAGGTAGGCATGGACAATATTATGGGGTAGATTCCTTTGTCATTAGCCTATCAACCAAGAATTGAAGAACCAAGAATAGTATATGTTAAAGAAAATTTAGTAAGTATTAAGACTACATAGAGTGAAATGGCACATAAATGCAAACATTTTAAAACATAAAAAAAATTTTTATACAATAAATCATCTTTCAGAGTGGAAAACTTATAGTTTAGGACAACTCTTCCAGCCTTCTCACCTATTACTATCTAAATTTTCCTGGAGTTTTATTGAGATATAATGGACAAAATTGTACATATTTATGGTATACAATGTGATATTTTGATACATGATTATATTATGAAATTATTTACCCAAGTCAATTATCATATCCACCACTTTACATATTTATCATTTTTTGTGTTATGAACACTTAAGATTTAATCTCTTAGTAATTTTCTAGTGTTGAGTACAATAACATTAATTATAGTCACCGTGTTGTAGAATACATCTCAGTAGATCTCCTGTCTAACTGACATTTCGTATCCTTTGGCCAACATTTTCCCTTTCCCATTTCCTTCTACATCCCCATTCCCTTTGACAACTAGCATTCTAGTTCTTTGTGTTCTTATGAGTTCAATTTTGTACATTCACATAATAGTGAATACACATAAATGATTTCAGTATCTTTTGATATATGCTCAGAAGTGAGGTGGTGGATCTATTTTTAATATTTGGAGGAATTTCCACAGTGTTTCCCATAATTGCCATAGTAATCTACATTCCTTCCAGTAGTGTGTAATGCTCTCTTTTCTCTACATCCTTGCTAATCCTTATTACCTTTTGGATTTTTTTAATCATAGATAATCTATTGTGTGTGAAATGTGAGATAATATATACTAGGAGCAGGGCTGGACTCTGCATACACTGGAAGCCTAGGCCATAAGGACAGTCATGGAGACTGGAGTTGGGGGGCAAGGTAGAATCAGGCTCTTTGCAGGAAGATTTGTAGACTAGCATTGTGGGTGATCTCCATGTGCTGGCCTGTAGGCTAGGATTGTTGAAGAACAGACTGGGTCTTGGGACCACACAGGCTGGCCTGGTCCTGGGTTTCTCTTGAGTGGAGACTGGTGTTATGAGGCACAGCAAAATCAAGTGTTCACTTCAGTCCCCATCTTCCGTGAAGAACAGTTTTCATGTCTTTGCTCTGTTGCCTTCCAGGCTTTCAGGAATGTGAGATTGGTAATGAGAACCTGTTCTTCCTACTCACTCTATCTTCTCTTATTCCTGTGCTATACTTGATAGTATATCATCTCAATTTCTTAGCAGCTGAGAGTATATGTTTTGTTATGTTTTTGTGTGAATAATTGTTCAAATTAATGTTTCTGGGGGAGAAGGAGTCCATGATCCCTGGAAAATCCTATTTCATTACCTTGTATGTATCCCTCTGTATATACATCTTTCAATTTTTAAATGTCCAGTCCTTTTTATCACTTTACAACTTGCAAAACATGCAAACTCTCTTGAACATAAATAGGTATATTTTTCTTGGAATGCTATGGTTATAACACATGTAATGTTGAATGTTAGCCACATTTGCATAATCCACTTAATTTATAATCTAAAACAGATCAGATAACAACCCATAAAGATTAAAAACGATATATTTCAATTGTTTTTTACTTTTCCAATCAGTTACATGAATCTTATGCAACTTTTCAGAATAAAAGTTTACTCACTTTGCAAATGAGAAAATTGAAGGAAAGACAACTGTCTAAGCATAAGCAACTTTTCTGTGGCAAAACAAGGGAATGAAAACAGATTTTTCTAGCCCTGGAGACCTATTCTTACAGTCAACAAGATCTAAAACAAACTAGAAGCTCTGATGTCTTCTCACACCAATCCTAACCCTCAAGTCAAAGTTTATAAACAGGCACTTAAGAATGAATTTGTGCTGCAAGCACCTTTACTGAACAACTAAGACTAAATTTTCAGTCCTTTCCCAGACAAGAAGGGAGCCTCACTGTACAAAAGCACTTCTTTAGCCTGTTAATTTTTCTACTTCAACCAGACAATGTCCCAAGCTTTGTCCGCTTCATCTTATGTTTAGCCCTGTGGATATATATATTGGGCATATATAATATATGTAATATATATTGGGTATATGTATTATATATATGCCAATTTCTCTTCCTTTTATAACTCAGCAGTACGAGATTATTGTCACAAACATGTCACACAGGTAATCACAGGTCATAACTCAGGCTTCCATCCCAGATGTACTCAGTCTCATTATTCCATGTGGCCCCACACTCATATTCTCTAACTGTATTTTAAAAATGTGACATAGGAAAGGGATTGGTTATCATGCATTGTGACAACATCAAGCAATTTCAAAATAATAAATCTTCAAATAAACCTACAAATCAGAATATACCAAATATGATTCAAAACTGCAAGAACCTTAAAGAAATGTAATAATTTTAGTCATTTGATTTCACAAGTATTAACATTTTAACATGAGTTCTTTATCATTCTTTCTCTAGTAATATAATATTAGAATGCATTTTAAATAATTTTCTAATATTGTTGAGTACAGTGTACATCTACTCTTAAGAATATATTCTCAAGAATATTTTCCAGGGTGGATACAAGATGGCAACTGGGACACAGCTGCAGACCTCCTGAGCTTGCTGAACCACGGACTTTGCTGAGAGGCTGGAGACACACTTGGATGAGGTAAAGCACTAGGGAGAGCTGAAACATCAGCACTCTGAACCCCTAGCTCAATGAAGGCTTCTCCACACCACTATTAACTAAAAGAACAGCTGGTGCTGCACACCAAGCCCCGCCCCATAGGCCTGCAGGTAGGATCCTCTTATCCTTGGGCTTGCTCCTCAGCCCCACCAGGGCCTCTCTCCCCCAAATTTCCACCCTTCAAACCCACATGATCTCCACCCAACCAAACCCCTAAGGCCTGACAAACCAGTGATCCACAGACATTCACGATCTCCACTGGGCCATGCCCCTCAGGCCTGCACTGGCCTGCATGATCTCCGCTCCACCAGGTCGTGCCCCTGAGACCTGCACAGGCCTGTG